CCCGCGAGCCCTCCCGCTGCTCGTGCCTCCCGCGAGCCTTCCCGCTGCTCGCGACTCCCGCGAGCCCTTCCGCTGCTCGTGCCTCCCGCGAGCCCTCCCGCTCCCTTTCCCTTTCCCGCTGCCGCTCGCCGTTGCTTCCTCGTTTCTCCGTCAGGCTCAGTATACAGTATACTCTTAATATTAAGTTTATTTAAATTTTGAAATGATTAATTTTCAATACTGTTAATAGATTAATAATATATTATTTTGATTTTAATGTTGTTAATTTTTATTTTGACGTAAAATTTTATTGTTTTGAATTTTGAAACTTTTTGTTAATGTGACATTGTGATTTTGTATCTTAGATTTTCTTAATTTAATAACATATTTTTATTTAAAATTTTAAATAATTATATTTATTAATTATATTATATATTTTTATATTTTAGCGCCTCGCTTCGCTCGGGTGAGCGCCTAGCGCCTCGGGCGTTTTTGGACCTTGGCGCCTAGCGCTTTTTAAATCACTGATTGGTGGTGGTCGAATTTCGATCGTGCCAACGGTATACGAGACGTACCAACTGGTATGCCTCACAAATTCAGCATATCAGCCAAAATGGGATGATCCGCATCTAGATCAGCCCTTGGACTGGAACCTTCTGCCCGTTTTGTACCATTTCGAGCGGTACGGCAGTCCATACTATATTGTACTCTTCTAATCAACCATTAAAAGAAAAAAAGCATCCTCAGAAACCTTGATAGGACACAAGTTCAATGGCATCATATGATGAAATTCAATTAGTAAGTTGATGAAAATGATAAAAATGAATGGCAATAAAGTGAGCAGAGGGAATATTTTTCATATCATCTTTTGACATAGAAGATCTAGGCATTATATGGAATATATGAATCTTATATTAAAAGGCTTTACTTACTTCAGTGCTAGTTCTGTATGTTGAAGACGATAGTAGAAAACAGCAAGATCACCGTAGCTTTTCATTGTATCTGGATGATCAAGACCAAGTTCCCTCTCATTGATATCGAGAGCTTTTTGCTGGTAGATGGTTGCCTGAGAAGAAAAAAAGGACACAGCTAATTGTCAACAACACCCTCTATGCTACAAGTACTCATCCAAATACATACAGAATTCACTTTTGTGAAGAAACAATAAACCGGAAGAGAAATCAGATTAACTTCTCAAAGTGTAGTGCTTTTCTATGTGAACAAAATCCCTAACTAGCAAATATTATTTTCAGATCAAAGAGGAACAACTTTCTCTTCTCACTTTGCTAAAATTCATTTTTGGTCCTATAGATGGTGGAACTTCTTTGTTGTATTTTTGTGAAATTTGGTGTGGCTTTAACTTCTCGCCTATGGGAACCTAGATTCGATGAAAGCATACTTTGCAACTGGAGATCATTCACTACTCCACTTGGAAAACTTCCAAAATGGTGTACCATGAGGTTGTTCATTTTCCCCAAGGAGTTCAAATTGATTTCAAGGTTCACAAAATCTTGTCCATTTAGGAGGTCACCAGATTCGAGATTAAGATTTCGGTTGAATTAAGCGAATCTGAAATTCATCATGATATGAATCATGCTCGCTATAATTGGCTACCCTCCTGACTTATTGGATCATGCTCACTGTTTTCTCAAATCTCACCCTCATCATTTATTAGCAATTATATAGAATTTTGCATTATAGAATACCACCAGGCTCTTCTTGAACCAATATCACATAGGAACTTCCATTCGGGGCTATTTTGATTTATATTTCTCTTTAATTAAGTATATTAGTTAAAGATGTTCTATAAATATCATAAGTTGACACATGGCAACATCTTCTATATAAGTTTGAGCTTGATTCAAGATTATAGGGCTTGATTGAAAATTTTAACTTTATGAGTGTCTTAAAACTTGATTGAAGAGTCTACAAAGAAGGCAGTTTATATCAGTCGAATATTTTTGTTAAAAAGAAAGTTAATCTACCAAAATAATTTCACTTCCCAAAAGAATAAAAATTATGAAGATCAATTAGGCTTGGGCATGTATTTTCCTTAATTATATTTTTCCCTATTCCTATAATTTTTATTTCTGGCCTTGTCATTAGGGGTTTTCAAAAAAGGGACAAAAAAGTTGCATTGAGGAAGATGGTTGAATGAGAAAAACTTTTGCTTATCATATTATATGCAAGTGGTGTAAGATCACATTCCTAGAAACAACTTCTAATGAAAATGGGTCCAGTATTCATCTCCAATGGTGCAATCTCATCATCTACATGCAAAATGTGTGCAGGTACAAAACCTTTATTTTGGAAATTAATCTTATAAGTTAAGAGTGACTCTAGTATTCATCAAACTTATTATATCACGTAATATCTTCCCTTCAATATTTCATGATGATTACATTGTAGAGAGAAAAAGAACAATTTTCATTATTCCAAGGGTCCAACATGCATCCATCTTACAGCATCCTGACATCAAGGCACTTGTTCTACAGATCTGGCAGTATACATCCTAGATTATACTCTTAGAATAGCAAAGCTACTCTACAGCCACATTTCTGTAGATATAATAAGTTAAGAGGCACAAACAAGATACAACTTTCTGAGAAAGAGGCAAAGAACCAGACTCATTTATAAGAAACAAAGACAGTATACTAAACCAGTAAAAAAAATTTAAGCACCCAAATAGGGCTAGCCATCAAGAAAGCTATCATGATCTTGTCATTTTAAAGGCAAAATGATGAGATATATTAGGAGTAATTTGGAAAAGTTATATACCACTAAGAGTAAGTGGCAAACCATAAAAGGTGACAACACGATGTCACTTAATGACTTTTTTTTTCTCTCGTTGTCAAAAATCTCTATGTTGAGACTTATGGCTTGGTTGTTGTTGTATTGTCAAAAAAATCCTATTGAAGAAAGTTCATATGGGTACACAGCAAAATAAATTAAGCTTGTTTTAAATTTTCTTTTACTTGTCTAAGAAAATTTTGTATGAAATCTGGGTAGCACACCTCCCAAATTTATAAGAAGAAACCAACGTCATAGAAGAATGAATAAGTATCAGAAATTATCAATAGAACAATGGAATCTTGTAACTACCATTGCAAATTTGTTTATTGGACAAATAATCTAGTTATACATTCAACCAACCAAGAATAGTTATAAAAACATCTGCATAGCAGGTCTTCAACTAGCTGATATTATTCTAAAGCTGGTCCATATAATTACTTCTCTGCAGCATCCACACTTTTGTGTTATTTTGAGTAAATCAAGATTCTTAAGAATCCTCAGGATGAGGAATTGCTTTTCACTGTTACATCAATCACATAAACAACTTTTCTCCAGTCAGAAACATAGACCCACATCATTGTCAACTATATAACTGAATGAGCCCACAACATTCAGTCTTTCTAATTTCTATAACAAGTGGAAAAAATAAAACATAGGCATGATGTATATAGAATTCTAGTTCATTTTGATTTCATGTTTATTACAACTAGCAATACCAAAACATCTTAATCAACATATTTTTTCTTTCTAAGAAATCAGTTCTATAACATACAATATGATATTCAAATTTCTTGAAAAATTTTCTTCCAGGCATGTACCTGGTTGAAGTCACCAGTATGGTAGAGAACTACAGCCAAAAGGCTGTATGCACCTGCTGTCATTCTGTGGTAAGGACCACACACTGCAACTAGTTTTGCCAATGCCTTCATTTTAAAGTAAACAAAAGAAGAAGATGTCAGGAATTTTAAAAAGTGAAAACAAGGAATTATAATTAAAAAAATAGCTGATAAAGATCTTTACCTTGGTCCCATAGTTAACAGCATCCTCTAGTTTTCCTTTGTCTAAGGAAGTCTTAGATGATTCCAGCAAAGTGCGCCCATCGGCTGATGAGCATGCAACATGCTGCAACACAAAGCCAACTTGCTCACTTCGGAAAAACTTAAGTCAATATTATTTCCTGGAACAGAAATGCACCCTTACTTTGTATACAGGAATCATGCTGATAATGTCTGACTTCCTAAAAGGATGTGGAGTTTCCATATCATAGTCCCTAGGAACTAGCTCAAGTCCTACCTGCAGCATAAAGCTATTTTCACAATTGATGATGAAAAAAAAAAGAAAAAAGAAAGGAAACAGATGTCAGACAAGTCCAAAACCTTGTGGCAAAGCCCACGTAAGATTGCATACTTCCTCAAGTCATGGCAGTCCTTGTTTTTCAATCTCCATCCAAATCTCTTTAAAAGGAAACTTTCTAACCACTTTTGCTTGAGATGATAGTCATTGTCTAAGTTAATATCTGCATTATCTGCTGGCAGTGATCCAAGCAAAATATTCAAACAAGACGCTATTGTCCCAGCCATGTCAGTTATATCACCAACCGCTGCAATAATAGCCTGAAGTATATGCTTATAAGCTCGAACTATCATCTCATGTAGACAAAGGGACTGCACATGAGGCAGCTTGTCTGCAAGTTCAACCTGTTAAGAAACCAATGAAAGAGCAGAAATAGAGAGGCTTTAGCAAACCACTTTCATCTATAACTGATGATTGGCATGCATTAGTTAGAATTTGGATTGAAGAGACTAAAAATATATCTACAGAAAATATTCAAATATTTACCACACGTCCTAGTGAACACATCTGCAAACCTCTGGTATGCATAAAATCCGTCAATGTCTTTCCATCAACAGGAGACAGTTCGAGTGAACCAAAGTCTGCTACCTGAAAAAAAATTGCAGGGTAACAATAGTGAATTAACTCAGAAGACACCAACCCACATAAACAAAAAATAAGGAAGGCAATTAAACTAATCATACCAACTTTGGCAGGGCAATATCCTCATAGTATCTCTGTGCCATCTCAATCAACTCATCTGGTGACTGACAAAAAGGGATCCAGATGAATCAAATGCAATATCAAAATATCTTAAGATGGAATCATAAAGCAAGTATTTGTGGAGCTAAGATTTTGTGAAAAAGAGGTTCTTGACTTAAGATGTACAATTTAGAGAACTGGTCACACCAGCCAAATTCCAGTGTCACAGTTACTGCAACCATAGTGTAGTTCGATAATGATCTAGTCAACAGATTGTAATTGGTATCAAAGTTGTGTACTTTTAACTAAGAATTTTGGAAAAATGGATACCCAACCCAAACAATTTAATGTTGCTCACTGCAATGAAGTACTACTAAGGATGGATCAATTTGATGGAGCAGATAAAACCTTAGCATGAAGGCCAGTTTCAGATTCTTTGAGGCGTAAGTATGCTGCTTCAGGAAGCAACTTGTGCAATGCCATTTCCTTATCCTCCCTAGGACTGGCACCATCCGCGTCCATGCCAGCACAAGAATTTTCCTTGGCAGAATCAGTTTTCCAACCCTTATCATCTATCTTCTTCTTAATTTGTTTCAGCTGACCAAATTGTTTCCCAAGACCTTTTACTGTTGTTTCAACTTTACTGTCCTCACTTTTCTTCAATTCAGTTTTTCCTGAAGATTGATTCTGTAAATGCTGCACCCAGCAAGCTCCTAGCTCCCATCTTATTGACATTCTCTGTTGGGTAGCTTCTTCTTGTAACCTCTGCAGACTATCTGCTAATACTTCTCGCACTAAGGACCTGAAGGACTGCAGATCTTCTAAATCTGCACATTGAGACTTCTGGGCTCCACAGAATGAAGTGGACTTGTGTAACAGCATCCTCAAGCTGAAAAGTTCAAAGCAAAATTAACTATTTTCCCTAAATGACAAAGATACTTTCTAGTCAAAATAGCCTAAAACTTCAAATTTGACAGCAAAAGCAAAGATAGAAAGCCATTTAGAGAGAGATGATATGGACCTCATCTCCCAAGTTGTTACCTATTGACATTTAAGGAGTTGCTACCTCCCTCAGGCTGATCTTCAATATAAATGTCCTGCTCTGTTACAGGAACTACATCTAAACCAGCTTCAACTGGAACTTTGACAACAACCGTATAACCACAATGTCTAATGACCACCACACTCATAGTGGAAGTATCCTGCATAGTCATTAAGCTACTTCAGCTTTTACAACATTCAAGACTAATTAAGTTGATTAGTTACAAAGTAATTGATTACATGAACAGTCGCACTCTCATCAGCCGTTATTCCCTTGAGTAAATTTCTCTGACAAAGATCCTTAGAAGACATTCCTTGAGCTTGAATTCCATCCAATTTGACATCCAATTTAGCACTTGCATCAGCTTTGTCTTTCGTGACTGTGATTCTTAAATCCCCTACTTGTTCATCATGTAAAATTGCAGCATAGGGGTCATTTGGTGCTTCATTTGAGCAATCATGTTTGAATAGTAGATGCTGAATAGCCTCAACAGCTTTGACAACAGCCACATCAACAAATAAGCTGTGAAGAAGGAAGGCCTTCCGATCACGGATCTGTCTCTCCTCAGGTGTTTTACAAGGCATCGCTGCAAGGATTACAAATTCGTTCGCCCATGGCCTCTGATTATGCTTGCCATCTCGTCCCTGACCGCCACCATTTCCACCCCAAGTTTCATCCTCTGTAGGAAGAGGAGGAAAAACCGACGGCGAATCTGCAGCTGAAGGAGGAACCACCCAAGTGTTTGCTCTAAATCCATAAGGAAGATTTCCAAACTGAAACAAAGTGGAAACTGTTATTTTAGCTTCAACAAATCAGAATAATAACAAATGTATTTTTAGTTTTCTTGTTCTACAGGCACACCAATAAATAAAAATGAATAAATTAAATAACCACAAGATGAGAGAATGTATCTATACACACCCTTCTCATGAACTGTTAATGTCTCTTCTTAATAGCCACCCTCAACAATAAAGGAAATAAGGTACCATCCCATTCATTCAATGAGGAAGACTTGCAGGTGAAGAGGTATCTATATTAGTCATGTCACATGTGAATAACTTAACAAGAAACGATGAGAAACCTACCTAAACTTTTGATTCCAATGCAATTAATCCTAGATTCTAAAGTAGTATATACAACACTTGTATAAACTTGGTCTTGGTGCACTTCGGGCCAAAACAAACAAAATCATAGTAAGGAACATTTGTCTTCAATTATGATTTGATTATGAAACGTAACATGAAAACTTATCATAAGAAGAATAAGAAGAATGAAAAGATAAGGATTACATTTTCTCGCTATTTCTCCATTGAAATATGTACCAAGGGAGATGAATATGATTATCAGCCTTCACATAATGCCGACTACCTCATTACCAATTCCCAATGAAACCGAAAAACTAACACGTTCATGATATGTTCCAAATTAACATCGAAGGTAAAATAGGCATCAACAATATTAAGATAATAGAACATACTTTTAGAAGAAAAAAAACAATAATAAACAACTGAATTGAAGTTACAAGAAAGCCCACCTTGTTGTGCTCGACAAAAGCTTTCATCAGGGACTTGTATGCCTATAATACAATTAATTATTGATCAAGCAGCAAATTGAATTTAGATAAGTGGAATAAGACACTGAAGAAAGAATATGGAAACTTACACCATCAAAAGCCCGGCTAATTTGCTGCAACAAGGCAACCAACGAATGGCTTAAAAGCGCCCCTTTCCCAGCTGGGTAGAACCCATTTCGAGATGCAACCACCGTCACCACTTTCCCATTGCAAATCTTCACCTGCCCATCGATTTCCAAAACCTTTAGATCAAGTTGGGATAACTCCAAAAGGCAAAAGTAGATTATTGCTACCAATTTGTATTACAAGATCCAATATTTATCGAAGTAAAAAGGAAATCGCACATCGATCTGAAAGAACTCATCTTCTCTTTTGTCCTCCACGAACGGTCGCGACGACCTCCTCACATCTGGAACAAAACACGAAATCCCATTCAAGGTCGGGTTTTTAATCCTGAAAACTAATATAACCAAAGAAATATAGAAAATAAGAAGTAAGATACCGACATTGTAGCGGCGGCGTAAGGTGGGAGAAGGAGAAGAAGTCGTAAAACTGGCCGAGCTTGGGCGGAGGGTACAAGGGCTCGTCCTTATAAGCAGCGGCCCCTGCGGTGGCACTTGTTGGAGAATCGGGCTTCTTGCTCCCGGCCTTGGTCTTCGGGCTGCCTGCGGTTGCTTCGGTCTTGGGCGCCTCGCTAATTGTCTCGGCCGCCTTCGCAGTGTCGCCGGGCTTGGTGTCGCCCTTTTCGATGCTGCCCGAAGACAGCGCCGCCGTGCCTCCGGCATGCCTCGGCGGGGCCGCTCCAAAGGCGGTGGTGCAGGCAACGATGTCGAGCAGGCGGCGGATGTGGGCGACGGCGAGCTCCTCCGTGTACTCCTCTGTACATAATTCTCAAAAACATCATACCTATTCTTCTAATAGATCTCCGAACATTGACATTAAATCTTTTTTAAAAAATTATATTCCCTTTTTATTTATCTTCATCTATTACAAGTATTTTAGGTATTAATTTCTTATATTTTGAACTTAAATTAAGGAAAATAATGACTGGGGATGGCAATAGCTCATGTACTCACAAGTTTCATCGAAATAGACTTCGGTGCATTTAGTCATCCGGAAAAATCTTAGCGAATTAACATTTTAATTTATATTAAAAAGAGAATATATATATATATATATGCATTGGTAAATTAGGGGAATTCAAGTTGCGCTCGATAACACGTTCCAATTGCACTCAATTTGAGTCAGAAGTGAGCTCAAGAACAATTGCACGGACTAATAACTCGGTGCTCGGTGTGTCCCCCCCATAACATTAAATGAACGTGTACGGTCGATGCGATGCGTATTCATAAATGAAGCGAACGACGTCGGCCTCCGCACAACGATGCGTATTCATAAATGTGCCTCAAGTGAAGCCATTAAGACAACAGGGTGAGTTGTATGTACCTTCCACGACGCTGACGTGGCAGGGCTTGAGCGAGACGATCTCCACCGTGTCCTTCAGCCCGCTTCCTCGCACCTGCCATCAGTTAAGTTGCACCGCGTGTCACCACACCCCGTTAAATTCGCATACGGTGCTTTCTCTACGCGTTGGAGCCCACATTTTTTTGTGGGGGTAAACGAGCAGGTAAGTTGGGTAGGGTAAAAGAAGTATTGTCGTAAATAATCGTGGTCCAAATCTAGTCAAAGAAGCTGAAGCGAACATCGGCCGTCCGATCCTTGTCGAATGGTAGGGACATCCGGTTTGAAGACGTTCCGACGTGGGATTACCTCGTGGGAGAGAGAGAAGTTGGTGAGGTGGCAGGTGTCCACGTGTACCGCCAGCAGCTTGCGAACGTCGAGGATCTTGTCCGTCGATATGCCCTGCGGAGACGACCGTTAGATGGACCCTTGGCCACACGCCCGTATCGAGCCCGACGCGCCGAGCGCGAATTGACGCGAGCTCCACCCGTCAAAGGCAAAAGAAAAAGGACAGAAGGGAAAAGATAGCGTTACGAGACCTTGAGCGTGAGCTGCGTGTAGTCCGGTGTCTCCACCGTGATGTCCAGTGCCGTCGGCAAAACTGCATCCAATTTCCATTGTCACCCCTCAATCATTGATAGATAGACAGATGGTTTAGAGAGAGAGAGAAGAGATTTAAGAGATACGAAGATAGAGGATTGACCTTTCTCTTCTTTCTTCTTCTTCTCCCCTTTGGCCTTGTGAGGCTTCGCCTTCCCAGACTTGGGAGCCATCTGGCGTCACGGTTCTTCCTCTTCTTCGCTGGACCAAGAAATCTTTTGAGCAGAGAGCTACGGATCCGACGAACTTAAAATGCTATAAGGTTTCTCACCTGCAGCGGCACTCCAACTGTAACTCACTGGCACGGCCGGGAATTGGAATTCAAGAGAAGCAAAAGAAAGAAACCAAGGTGCAGCTTTTGAACAAGGGAATGTTTAGGAAAGAATGAAAGCTAAAGGTAGGCGAAAAGGAAAAGAGAGAGAAAGATGCCGAGTGAGGGCGATGAAGGGAGGAAGAGAAGGGTGGGGAGGTAGGTGAAGAGGAGGTATACGGTATAGAGGAGATGAGGTGAGTGGATAGAGGATAAGGTTTTATGGATTCTGCTCGCACCTGGAGGTTTAAGCCTTGGAGGGATAGAGAGAGGTGGGGAGGGGGGTGTTTGGGTGTTGGGGAGGAGCTTTGTGTGGATTTGGGGCCTCTCATTTTATGGCCAAGACTTCCTCATCACCAAATCTCTCACTATCAATCCATCTCCGCAAGCTTCCGCTTCTCGTGCCTCCACTTTGACTGCATGGAGATAAGTTGTTGTGATTGTTACTGGAAATAAAAGGACCATAATGCTCTACAGCAGCTCCTGCGATAAATCTGCATCATGTGTCACCGTGGTAATTTCTGCTTGGAGATGGGGTTTGGATGGTGCACAGCTGTTGGTTAGCTAAGACTGCTAGTGCATGAGCCCCATGAGTTCTTCTTGCCTTGTCTCGCCAAGCAACCGGCAAAGACCTTTGTGTCTGTATACTGATTACGGTCTTTCTGCCATTATGGGTGCTCTAATCCTTCCAACTTTAAAGCTCGCTGTGCTTTCGTACCAAAATGCATTGCCACAAAGTTGATTGATGATTGCTGCCTCTTGGTCGGTTAACTTTCTTTTTAATAATTAGTTTGATAAGGCTGCATAAATCGATTCTCCCCAGTATCGTTGATTGATGGGAGTCTCGTGCACTCGATCAAGATGATACATGTTAAACTCGTGTGAAATCTGGAAGTTCTCGATTAAGATGCAGACTTCACATAGAAAACCCATTCTCCAGGAAAACATGACCTTGTTCTCCATCAGTGGAGTCGCATCTAGAGCTGTACAAAACAAGTATAAGAGGCTCAAATGAACCCTTTTTTTAGCATCTTATGAACTAGTGACCACCGCACAAAGCAACAGGTGAGTTCTCGTTCCTTCGACATTGAGGCTTAAGATCGGACATGCCATTTGAGTTGCGTTTTCTTCAGCAACACCTTGAAGCGGAAGTCTTCCGGTTAACCTAAGAAAAACCATTGGATGTTGAAGGGTCTTGCAACCATATGTGACCTTCGATGAGAACTCAGACTTTTCATTTTAGACATCTGCAATAGCATAAAAAATATGTGTTTCATGCAGCATGTTGCGCCCGGTGAATGAGGAAGCCTGATTTGCATGCCCAGACATCTGTAGCGTCAATATTTATCCAAACTGGTTTCCTTTGTAGGAAGAACAAGCTTGTGAATGAATTCTCTTATCGTGAGCACTTGGCAAGTCATCTTTCTTACTGTCTCTTGACAGAATCCAGTTTCAGATACCACTGCAGTTGTTGAATCCATTCTTGTTTTCCAGTCTACACCAGTTCTTTGAGACTTGAGGCACAAGGAGATTTGTCCAAGTCAAAGCACTGATGATGATGTTGTATCTTCATCTTAGAAATTAAAGACCGGCATGTTCACCAACTTGTAAACCATTTCATTGAGCTCTCTTACATTCTCAAGAAGAGACTTGATGCTACCAGTCAAAAGGATCACATGTTTCAGTCAAAAGTTTATCATGTGAAATAGAGGAGCACTGAGGTGAAGACCGATCGGGTGAACTCAAAAGGTTAATCATGTGAAAGAGGAGGAGCATCGGAAACATGCTTTACAGAATCCTCTTTCAATGTTGGTGTCGAACCGACGAGGGTTACAATTAGGATACTTATATGCACTATGCTCGGATGATGGTGTGGCCAACTGACGTATCGAAGAGACGGCACTCCGTTTGGGAACACATTTGCGCTTGTAGGATGTGTTTTGTACATAATATGCTTGTGACTCTTTTAGCTAACATGATCATAGTGAAGTTAAAGATGTGCTTGAAAACATATTTATATTTTTAATATATATTTGAAAAAAAACACTTGTGTGAAAATTAATAGATGAAAATTATACCTTAAATATGTATTGACATAATTGTTATTTGATAAAATTATATTTTAAAAATTCATTAAATATCATGTGACATTCCCTTTTAATATTGTTAATATTTAGTCAAAAAGAATACATATTTTTATATAAATAAATAATATGAATAAATGAATGTAGTATAAAAAATTCGTATGACCTAGATATGTAATAAATAAATATAAAAATAATTTTTAAAATAAAAAATAAAATTTTACCTTAAAGAAAGCTTAAATCGATGTAAGAAAAGTAATTTAAAAGGAACAACTCAATATTACTATATACATACCGATGAAATTGTACAATACTCAGTGGAGCAAACGGCACGACGTACTTATGAGATAAGGAGTTGACGATGGTAGAAATTAGGAAAAAAAAATGAGGATTAAGATTTCTATTATATAATGGCAATATTATGATTTTAAATAATATCATAAGGTACTTAGAAAATTTTAAAAATATTATTAGTATTTTATAAATAGTAAAATGTTAATGGCTATGTTATTATAAGATAGCACCAACATTTAAATATTTATAATATAGTATTCAGACCAAATATGATTTTAAAATTTATCAAATATAAATACATATTAAAAATATATCTTAGACTCTGAAGTAACATCGACATTTAAGTATTTATAATATAACATTCATACTAAATATGATTTTTAAAAAAATCATCAACATCAATACACATTAAAGATACATATTAGACTCTCATGGCGGATGTCAAATGGCTTCTCAAACGCAAACGCAGTCCAAGTGATCTCATGGACTCGAAAGACTCACCAATGTGTTGTCTGACTTCTGAGTAGGCCTACACAGTGTAAAGGACTGACCCGACTTAACTTCCAAATCGTTGTGCGACCAAATGTGACCTAATCACATCATTGAGATATCTCAATAATTTGATTGTTGTGCATATCTGTAGACAATTATGTATGAGTTTGTTTGCAAAAGAAAATTTAACGTTTCCAAGACTAATCAGGTGAAATTTTATTCATTCGGTTGACATTAAATCAAGGAAGCGACTAGACATAATACCTTTCTCGACCAATCATCATGCCAATTAAAATATCGATATGAATCTCTAATTTGTGGGATTCGACATACTGTTGAGAATAAACCCAATAGAAATCTTCGATGGAAGTGACAGATCGATAAAAGAACACAATGGCTGAATTAGATTTATACGTGGCAGAGATTGATTAGTTAACCAGATGGGCCCTACTCGTCTGTGTCCACCAGAAAATATGAGCAATCTACCTAAAATTTTCTTGAGGGGGAGACTCTACGTATATTTGCTAGGTCAATTTATAGATATTTCTAACGGAACAACATTAATGGGTTTGAACTTTTCTTCTTAAAAAGTATACTCTTTATAATTAAAAATTAGAAAAAGATTACTCCATCAGATATAAATCATATATATACTATTTTTAAATAATCTTATAATACATTTATCATTAAATCAAGTTACTATAACTGATTCTAACTACCTAAAATTTTAGCATAACAAAGTTGAATAATTATTGTTAACAACTTGATATTATAGACCGGGAGTACTAGGTCTTATTTTGAGAGTGTGAGATCGTTAAGTAAGTCTTCCCGAGGAATGGATGGAATAGCTAAGGTTGGACTAGGGCGAGCGAGGGAAATTTCAAGGTTATCTCGAGGTGAGGCTAGAGTACGTGTGATCTTCGTCGGAGCTTTGCACGATAAGTTGATGTTGCATGAAAATTTCAACCCGACCTATTTGATGCTTAAGTTAGCTGTGAGGAATTGGATTTATATCAAGTGATGGATTTTTTGGAGACTGATCCCCTCTTCAAGTGTTGAGAATCGGATTTTATACTTATGGAGCTGACGGGAAGGAACTATGGTTGTAGGGGGCACTCGTACCTTTTGCAACGCATTCATATGGATGATTGACTCATACGGCTCCCAACAATATGGGTCAACCTGTCTAGACTCTTATGGCACAATGTCGATCTGTACTGCCTCGCATGGCATGAGATTGGTAGGGAATGACTTAGGGGGTGCCAATCACTCACCAGCTCAGCCATTTTGACAATGCTACATTGCCCTCCATATTAGCTCCTTGATGGCTATCAGCTGATGTCCTGCAATTGGTGCCGAAATATTCTTTGTTATTCGTCCCCCACCCCGAAGGTGTGGTTCGGGGCTCTCATATAAAGGTTTGTGCTAGTCATAGGTGTCTATCACGTGAGTGATGACACGTGTGACATGATACATATTTTTTTTATATTATTTAGTATTTTATCACTTTATCTTGTATGCATATATTATGATGTTCATGGATCTGTGCAATGAGAATCAGATCGTGATGAGATCATAATAATGAGACTGATTCGTCTTTAAACAAAGACCCTAAATAATCTCGGTCATATATCACTTAAGAGGGACATCGAGATGACCGGATAGACTAGTGTGTTATACACTCGTCCATATGATGGAGGCGGCTGGTCTCATAGCAGCTCATGTGGGGACACTAGGAATACTACGCAGGTGCTCATTGGAAAATGGGTTCACCGATTGATTCGCTCATGGAATGCTGGATGGTTGATAATACCTCATTGTCAGACAACGATTATGTCATCCTAGTGGTATATCTGGTTCTTAGGCTTAAGACATCAAGGATGTCCTATATGAGTATTCCACTCTTTGATACTGAACTTATAGACCTGGATATTCTAAATCTAGTACAGCCGGTCATCCGGAGTGACAACCAACTTTACAAGGGTTATTGAGTATTGATAGAGGATCATTCACTCTCAGTGTCATGAGAGAAATATCTCATGTATTCTTACTTAATTAAATCTTTGACTAGGATCATTCAAATTGAGAGAGAAAGAGTTTTCCGAGAGAATCCTATTAGAGTGAGGCTCGAGTAAAAACCGTATGGGTCTAATAACGCACCATACCTAGTATACGATCTCTGGGATATTAGATGAATGATGGACTATAGATACACAATAATTGAGGACAAACAAGTCTAATGGATTGGATTCATTTATATCATCTGATGACTGCGGCATGGTGGCTTAGTACGTCCGTAGTCAATAAGTCGAGTGAATTATTTTGGAGATAATAATTCACAAAGCTAGAAGGAGTTCTGATAGATATGACTTATGGCCAGCTCAATATTGAGCATAGAGGGTCATATACATATGGTTGGCGTTGTGATGAGTAGATGTTCGGATATGAGATATCCGTTGGAGCCCC